ATTTGAACTCAATGAATTATTGAAAAATGATAATAAACCTCTTATCTCAAGAGCTTTGATCAGACTTCAATATTTTTTTACTCTTATGTTAAGAAGTTTATATCGATCAATCTCGAAAAAAATGCTGATGTCATCACTAAGTCAATATTAATATTTATCTTCGCAAATTATGACGATATGATTTTATTGATTGGGTCAATCCTTTTCCTTTAATAGATATATAATACTTCCTTTATAGTGAATCATGCTGATTAGGTACTTTTTTGAATTTCTTTTTTCGGAAGTTTTCATTGAAATATAGCAGATGTGACAGACTATTATGTATTTCTTTACAGAAAATAAAAGATTATTTGAGCTAGTAAGGAGTCATTAAGAACGAATGAAAAAAACAATCAACATACCTGTCACTACGCAATCAAATTCGGATTAGACGATATTTTTATGCTAAACCCATTATTGGATTAAGATTTTATATGAATAAACTTCAATTGAAACTCACGAATTTAACATTAATTTTAAAACAAAAATTAAATATTGTACTGACACACATATATATGCAATATTAAAGCAACTTAACACACACTAGTATCTATCATACAATGATCACTGTGCACTTTCTCAATTCGATTTTTTAATGTATAACTAAATGTCTCATTTCATTCGTTCTTCATTTTTTTTGTAGCCTTAAAATTTAATCTAGAATCAATTGTATGGTCCCATGTCAAATACCATTGACATTTACCTCTAGATACTGCGTATACATGCGTCAATAGTATGATGTTTTGGTTTAAAACCTTTCAATATCTAACCTGATAATATTGATGTATTCGAGCTATTGCTATGATCTAAACAAAAATAAAACCAAAATTTATTTTTCTTATATTCTAATATGAATACCTTGTAACTTGTTTTCATTATTTGTCGTTGAAATAGAAACTTGAAAACTTAAACTTTCAATTTCTTTGATAATACTTGATAACTTAATGATATTTGCATCATATAAAACATTTGCTGATTGATCATTAAGTGATACTTTAATATGATGTATACCAGGTAGATCTTCAACAGTTTCTGTTATATTCACAACACATGAATTACAATGCATTCCTTTTATACTTAAATAAGCTTGAGAAATGTTTTCTAATTTTGGATTTACTTTATAACCAATCGATTGTAGCTTTTGATAAAGTGTATAGGAATCTATTTGATTTTTATCATAAGATATCTGTACATGAATACTATCATTTTTGAAAGGAAATTTAACATTTAAGACTCCATTTATTGATGATATACGTTCAGTAGCAATAGGAATATTTTCATCTGATATACCTCCAAGCTCAACATCAAGATTGTCATTTTGTATTGTAGAATTAAGCTCAGCATGAAAACCCATTTGATTAATACGTTCAATAATATCATTTATACTAAGAACATTTGAATCAAAAACAACAACTCCTAATTTATCTTCAAGTGAAACCTACAAAAACAAATGAAATTTTACTATTTACTAATAAATAAAATTTCTTTTTATTAATACTTTAATTGATCGAATTCCATTTAATTTAGTTATTGTATTTTCAATATTTCTTACACAACTTTGACATGTCATACCATTAATAAGAATATGTTGTGTTGATACTTCCATAGTTGAGGATGTTAACATGATTTTTGATTACTCTAAGTGATCAAAATCATTATTTATAAATAAGTGAATAAAGCATAAAATACACTATAAGAATGAAAAATGAATTACAAAATGCCATTGGTGTTTCCATGCAGCAACACCAATAACATTTCTTAATTCACTTTTAATCCCCGTGGTGTGCTTAAGGCCTAATAATCATATGTTTTATTGAAAAAAAACATTGGATGAAGAAACCCGACCGATAGATGTGGCTTTTCATCAATTATTATTGGTTGAATCTAAATAACAAATAGAAAATGACCATTAAACGATAGTGAACCATAATAATGATTTGTTATCTATTAGGTGATATAACTGAATCATTTCCTCATTTCTATAATGATTCAAGTGATGCAGGTACTATTTTACTTTAGATATGGCACTCTCACATGCACGCAGTGCTGTGTGTGCAAATTATAACTATTGTATGTTTAAAGTAATCTAGTATTCATGATTATTTGTACAAGGGCACTTTGGTTGGTTTTATTGTTTTTTACTTCTTGATAATAATAAAAATTAGTGTGTGGGTTAAGAGAAAACTGAAACATCCATATTATCTATGATAGATATATTTGATTCAATATTATTTGCACAAGTACTTCAACAAAGTTTTGAATGATGTTTAAGCAACATGTAATCTTCGGAGTCTGGTCACAAAATTGAAGAACGATCAGTTTAACAATGCGAGATCAAATTTCATAAGAAATTGAACTATATGACATACTCGGAGAATCAAGCATTTACTGATTCTTAAAAACTTAATTGATGTGAATTATCTTTTTGTTAGATTGAAATACTCTACTGAATTGTATAGAATTTGTACTTCAGATGTATGAAAAATGCTCAAATAAAAGTGCTGTACAAATCTTTAAGAGAAAAAAAAAAGAACTTTGATATTTTTCACTCTCATTTCGTCCTGCACAACTACACCGAACACCAGTACTAATAGTCCACATCTAGTTCTGCTAATTAACAAAGAAAAAGTTGTTAGAAACTGTCCGCTACTGGATTATCATTAGTGCTACCAATAATTAATCATTGCTAAGATCACAAATTGGGCTCACTTCATGATATCGACATAATTGAAAAAAGAATTCATCGATAAGATATAATATCTAACTTTTACTTTGAGTGAACAAAACATCATACCGGAAATTGGATAAATTATATATCACATAGAGAATCCAAAGCTCCCAATGACATGTCAATGAGCGTTAGACGATGTGTCATTCTCGAGGTTATCACATCACAAAATACGGATTTTAGAGGCGAAAGTCGAGAAAGCATTAGAAACTGTGACTAGTCGCTATAAGTTGCTTTGTATCTTACTTAAAAAAACTTGAAGAAATACATAAATGTTGTACGTTGTACCGCATTAATTGAAGCACCGATGTAATTTCATACATCAACAAAAATTATTGTAGCATATAGTGGAAAAGATAATATTATTTTTTTCTCAATATTTTTACTTTGTTTCAAGTATTATAATGTCAGTCTCTTCAAACTCAATCTATTAAATTTAATTTGTTTCAATGCTATAAAGTTGGTAAAAACGAATATTTATTCATATTGACTATTTTCATTGATTTGAACATGTGAAAAATAATGATCACATTAAAACTTAAGTTTGGAAAGTATGAACATTCCTGGCATTGACATAAATAATTCTATTTTTAAGAAAAAAATGAAGCATCATAGTAAATCGTCTCTTATCCATCAACAGACTATTTATTGTCGTCGTATTTTTGAAGGGATGAATCTTTTTTTGCTTTGTATCAAGGATAAACTAGAGTTAAAATTTTGTACTTAGCTGTAACATAGTTGATTTTCATTAATATTCAATTTTATAGCAGACGAATGCCCAATAGTGCCGAACCCTGAAAAAGTAATATATATTATTTATAAAACAATGCACAAGCACTTGGTTTTACAGTATTACTACTACCGTTTGCTCTCAGTTAAAGGTTTATATAATCCGAGTTTCAATAAATAGTAGTATTTTTTTTACAACTTCGAATTCATACAAGTCTATTATGAGAAAAAACATATTTTAGTTTTTGTTCGTTTGTTATCCTAGACTTATGATCACTTTATTTGACTGTGAGAGTCTGTTTGTTTTTCATTATAAAGTAATTCTTATTCGCATAATAAGTGTCTTACTATATTTGCAATCGTTTACATAATGCAAAGATTAAAAGAATGAACTTTTTGACATACGTATATGTTTGCATATTTTTATAGATACTTTGACCTCTTTTCTTAAAAAAAAAAGATTAATTTATTCAGATAAATGCATGATAAAATAGTCCGAAGTCAAGTTCTTCATAAAGGATATGATTTTATTAGGCGCTTCATTTTTTGCCAAACGTTTTGATGATTTTTGTCTTCTTCTAGTTGATAGATATGCTATTTTTTTAAGAACAAGTGGAAAGATTTTTTTGCTTTTTTCTATTTCTGATTTTCTGACAACGCATCACAGAATTCTCAAAAGAGGTTTTTTGTAGTCAATTACTCGTTTTTGTTTAAGAGAGCATGGCAAGATGCAGAGCATGATGGGTTTCTTTTTTTAAATGAAGCTTCGTTATTATTATAGAAAAGAAGACTTCTACAACAAGAGATGTATTTTCTTTTAGAATTTTTCGATATTTCAAATTTTCCACGTTTTTTCTCCACTGAGAAAGGGAGATTGAAAAGAAAGAACTCTGTCCTGCCTAGCATCCTGATATGATCTTTCAAAACAAAAAAAGAATAAGTCTATAGAGTGTAGGCTTTCGGAGAATTTTAAGTTATCGAATGAGCTACTTCTAATCCTTGTTTATTGAATGTTTTCCTCGAATTTTGTAACATAAGGATGAACATTTTAGCATAGCTTCTATATATCCTGAAAGTTTTCATGAGATTCGAATGCATTTGAATCACGATCATTTTTTGAGGCGAAGGACGGCTTTAACAGAGATACACTTATCAAATTATTTCATATTAATTATAGAAAAATGCAATCTACAACAGACTTCGTTACGACATTGGATTCAGTTATTCGTTACTTTGATATCTTTGCCGGATTATTTATTTTTATTTTTGATATGATTGGTAGCATTCTCAACGTTATTATTTTCATAAGTTTAAAAACATTTCGTAAAAAATCATGTGCTGTTTGCTTACTGGTATTATCAATATCCGAGAGTGGTATCTTAATATTTAATACATTGCCAAGTATTTTTTTGTGAGCATCTTCAAAGATTACGGTGACGTGAATGTAATATTTCCATGCAAAATACTAACAGCTTTTGGACAAATCTTCGGTTTACTCTCACACATGATTATATGTTTTGCTGCTGTTGATCAATATATGTCAACATCAATGCATGAAAGACGTCAAGCTATCAATCTCAAATGTATGCATCGTTTAATTGTAATTTCTATATTTCTTTCCATTTTATATGGCATACCATTTCTTGTTTTTTATGATATACAACCATTATCTGGAACGAATACAACAACATGTCGTCCCAATGATAACAATGGACCATTTTCTAAATATGTAATATATGTTAGTTTACCTGTCATTGACGGTTTTATACCTATCTTCATAATGAGTGTAGCTGGCTTTATTGCATTTCGCAAGGTTCGTACTATGACCAAGAGAAAAGTACATATTATACGGCTACGTTTAGAGCAACAATTAACTGCAATGGTTTTAATGAAAATTCTTGGCGTTTGTATCACTATAATTCCGTTTCTTATTGTTTATATTATTCAGTATATAATATCATGGCGTAGCAATGATTCCATTGTTCAAGAACAGCTTCGATTAGTATATCGTGTCTTTACGATTCTCTTCTTTATAAACTATGCCGTGAGTCAACAGTATATTATTATTTTTTTTCGATTTATGGAATTAATATTTTCTTTTAATTTAGGATAGCTTCTATATTTTTCTTACATCTTCTGCTCGATTTCGTCGACAATTGAAATTTGTTCTATGGGATGTATACTTAAAACAATGATGTGCAAAAAGAAATACTAATCGAGTTCAACCTATTGAAAGAAGTTTTGTTCTTTCAATCAGTAATAATTAAGAACATTACTAGTAACAGAAAATTGAAAACAATAAAAAAAACTTTCATATTAAAACTATTGTACAGTGTTTTCTCAAGATTGTAATTATCGAATGAATGATCAATTATTTATTTAATAAAATTCATATTTTACATTGTAATGAGCAAAATCAAGTTTTAAGATGGCGCAATTTAGTATATGAATTTTTACTAAAACAGAAGTATGTGAGAATTTAATGAAGTCTTTTACCGTAGTTTCAGAAGATTCAGTGATAAAATAGCTTTCTAAATATAATACTAGCCTGTCTAATATACTAACGATGTGATCTGATTTATTGAATATTTTTATCTTTATGTACGGTCATTTGTTTGATTCAATGACTGCATGGTGAACAAAGGGAATTAAAGGACATACCAAGTTTTGATTCTATTTTTATTTTATCACTTTATTGATTGAACAAATACAGCATCAATTCCATATTAATGCAGTAATAGAAAAAAGAAACGAGTGAATCGATGAAAAGTAATGTTACAAGAATACATGTGCTTTTGACACATCTTATTACATAAACATCTACTTTATTATAACCATTGAGGATATTTAATTCATAATAAATTCTATTTCACTTTCGCATGAGTTCAGATTGATAATACATATTCGAACCCACACTCATCTAACTATCTAGTGAACTTCTTTATCGGTTTATATTACACAGAAATCCTGAAAGATCTTTATTGACTGTACATAGAGAGTATTTCGTTGTGAAAAAATTCGATGTTTTCAATTTTTTTCAAAATTATATAAATTTTATAGACTCGATATTTCCAAGGCGGAGTAATGAAAAAAATAGATTCTTTTACTGATAAATAGTCGATAAGGTTCATTACAAAGAAATATTCTGATCGTTTTTGAATCTCATGTTTTTTTTAATTTTCTGCAATCATTCTACAAGTACTCACTCCAGTGACCAACAGAACGTTATGCGTTAATGTGTCATTATTTTCAGGAACTACCAATAAATGTTCAGTAAATTGTGTAATATTCAAATGAAAGTTTTTTTACAGTACACTTTTATAATTACTGTTCGTTTTAATTATGACATAATTTAGTCATAGATTTATGTTTCTTGATAAATTTCTTTTCAAAATGAAAGGTTGATTCTGTATTTCTGAAAATAGATCTCATACAACAACATGTTTCAGTGGATTATTTTAGCAGCAAAAATGTGTCATCAGAAAATTCTATTTTTAAATTTTATTTCACAATTATTCATAAAATAAAAATTAATTCTAAAACATTACTGGAATAAAATAGGACGAGATAATGGTCTTTTCCTTTGAGTTATATGTAGACCTTTTGAATAAAATATGAATGAAAAAAATAAGTCACATTATTAATTAAATTAAACCATTGAGTAATTCATTAATTTTGAATAAAAAGAATATGAAATCCATAGTTCACCGCATACGACCGTATGTTGCTGTATTACATGACTCGGTACTATGATTGTATTTCTCTGTATCATATACAAAGAAATATACTCGCAATACTGAGCCATGGAATACGTCAATATACGTGTATTTATTGATATTGATGAATGTGTTTGTTCGATCTGGGATGCCTTTAGGAGTGACGAGCATTTATGATAATTTAATAATTAAATATCAATACATTTTTATTTGACAACATTAACAAAATGACTAATGATAATACACAAATAAGCATATAAATTACTAATAAAAATTTCTAGGTAAGAAATTGCATCAACTAACAATGTTATATTCAATGAAACATACTTATACTAAAATATTATCAAAGTCAATATCCAACATATAGTTTATTAAATCAATTATACATTTTTGTTCTCATAAGTTACGAGTTTTTGTCAAATTAAATTTTCAATATAATATTTTGAAACTTGAAGCACCAGATCTTTCAGCGGATGCAATACGATTTATGATGGCATATCATCATTCATACTAGCTGTGTCAAATTGAATTACATAAATATACGATGGAAAACTTAAATTTCTTGTATTCAATTATCGTTGTAAGTTGAAAATAATATTTTAATGATGCCATTAAAAAGAAATAAATTGATCTCAATAACAATAGTCGTACAATCAAAAGATGTGATAGAATTTATGTAAGAAAAAAACGTATCCATGCCTCAAGTATAAATTGATCTTTATGAGACAAATCTATTGTATTCAAATACTTTTTCTTACTAACACAAAAAAACAAGTATTCTGTTATGAAAAAAATCGTTTTTACTTATCATCTCAACTGTACAAATATATTTTAGTTTTAATGTACGTTTATACCAACATGTAACGATATCCATATCTCAGCTCGATCCGTCTAGTGTTCAGTGAATACACTATCAATGAACGTTACTTATCAATATATGTGGGGAAAATAGTGACGTTGCTAGGATTTTTGGTTCGGACTAAACTCCCTTCAATCCTTCATATATTAACTTCTCTAAATCATTGTGTGTTTTCAGATGGAATCATTATTTAGCGCCATCTGGTTTTTTCTTGATATGACATTTTGCATTTTCTAATGTTAATTTCTGCTAAAATATTTCATAACCTTCAATAATTTAATAAATGAAATATTGAATAACTATACTCGCGAAAGAGATCATAAACTAATTTCTATTCGTTAATTGAATGAATGCATCAAGTGTCAATTACTGAATTAATTAGTTCTTGTTTTATTTTGATATTGTTTACCATGGCATCGAATTCGTAAGTAAGCGATATCTTATTTTCTCTAATTAATCTACAAAATATTTTCTTCTCCAAGATCAACTTGGCTTCGACCACTTGATCGAAATGAAACTGATTGTCTACAAAAAGGCTATAAACCAATACGTCTTGTCTATACAGAACAACCATTAACTGCTCGAATACTTGTTGATGGTTCAAAAGTATATCTTATTTATTAATAAATTTTGTTTTTTTTGACAAATTTCTTTTCTTTATTAGACATTACCTATTGATGATTTAATACGTGAATTTTTTTCTTTACATCGTATGCTTCTATCAAAAACTCAACTTGATGATATTGATATATGTCTTTTACCGCATTGTGATATACATGAAATAACTGTAAATCAATTAACAAAGTTAAATGGTCATCAAGAACCTGTACTTCTTTTAACTGCCCGTTCAAACAGTGAATATTTACTAACACGTGATCTTGAAGAATTAACATTTCGTCAACAAACTGGTTTAAATGTTGATATATCTGTTTTAAATCATATTAAACAAGATAATGAACGTTTACGTGAAGAAAATCAACAACAAAATGAACGTATCAATGAATTAGAAAAACAAATATCTGATATAATAACAATTCGTGATGAAATGAAAAAATTATGTAAAGAATATAAAAATGATTTGAAGAGAAATATCGATAAGAATGATGAATATTATAAAAAATTTGAACGTTTAGATCTAAAACTGAACAAACAATTATTACAAGAACAAAATCTTCTAATTTCTACAAGACTAAAAAGTGAATAAGAAATTCGTTTCTGATCTTTTTTTTTGTTTTCATTTTTAGATTCAATCTGTTTTTTTTTTCTCGAAATATACATCTTTCTTTTCGCATTCTAATGCAAATTTATTTTCAAGTTATTCAACACATATTGTGATGATATTTTTATATACGTATTTGTTGTGTCATCGAAACTTTTGTATTAGACAACTATATTGCTTTTATTGCCATTGACGTTTGTCCGATAAAATATTATGATTTCGTTTTTCTTATTCGTTATTCTTTTACCATTATGTTTAGGTACTTGATTAAATTTCGTATCGATTATTAGTAAGTCAAATGAATCAATTTAAAGAGTATCGAAAAGCATAATTTTAATCATAAAATTTTTCCTACGATTGCCTAATCATCATGCAAGAGTGTAGTACTTATGTATATAAGTAGATAGTTAATAAAAATATTTGTTAATATCATAAATTCATATTCTCTCCTAGGCTTTAAATGATAATGTTTGATAATTTATTTGAGATATTATTCAACATTATTTGAAAAATTACAATGAACAACTACATATCAATCCAAGCTTTTTCTTACACATATTTTCATAAATGAAAATTTTTGTACTGTTGATATGTACATTTGTTTATAGGCAAGCTGTTCGTAAATAAAAAGAAGATGACATTTGTATATTAGAATGTTGTTGTATTCGAAAAAATAAATATAAATTTGTCTGAAATCTCGAAAGATACGTTTCAAACTTAAAACACGATCGAGTATGTCTTATTGGTTAATTCTGTCAACAAGTGACTTTAACTATCGATGAAGAGTGCATAAGATTATTTAAAATAAGAACAAATCTACACATCTATGATTTAAATAAATAGTATGTGAACCATTACCATCAACTAATTATAATGTGCGAAAAGACAGAATTGGTACAATAAAAATTTTATGATAATATTATGTCAACTATTGATTTAACTCTGAAAATTGACAAGGACAGCGTGAATAAAGAATCAGTAAGAGTGAACCTTAATATGTCAGGCAATTTTTTTTTGCCGTATAAAAGATGGTAGTTCTATTGATTGAATGATGACTTTTTTGTACATATGTGTTTGTACGTTGGAAATAAAAGAAATAACAAAACGAATTGCAATTTATTTAAGAGTAACCAAAGTGAAAGAAAAGAAATGAGCACAACACAAAAGAAAATATTTGTTAAGTAAATATATGAATAAAAGAAGAGAAAATTCATTTTATAATCTCGATCTCTTGCGTTACTCGTCATTATTTAACAATAATGTCCTTGCCACATTTTTCAAGTATGACTGGTTAGATACCATTAATCGTAAGTTTTATACATATGAAGCGTTACTTCTTAGTAATTAATGTGTTTTATATTTTATCATTATTGTCGACATTTTAATCCATAAATGATATAACTCTTCAATTTGTCCGTCTGTTGACCGATAGTGACAGTCGACACTTTGCATGCCTCTGTCTAACTTGACATCGTTCACCATCATCTTTCTATCGTTCATCGGATCAGACTACCATAAAAGAAGGAGAGAAAGAGAAAGGAAAAGTATATTCGTTCTCTTCTTTTTTTTTTCTTTACTAGAGGCAAGTAAGGTAGGTAGGGTAGGCATCAAGAAACATACAACAAGCAAAAAAAGACTGAGTGAGCACAATCGTCTCTCTTTCTGTATGGCAGATGAAGCCACGCGAGCTCTCCTTTTTCTATTGAATTTTTAGTGTAAAAGGATCCGGTAATAATGGTTTCACGTCTGTTCTTTGATGCGCACACACACACACCTATATACAGAGAACAGACCCATTAACTAGACGCACAAGTATGCAATACTATCGTTACCAACAACCCATAATTGTAAATTGTACGGTACTTATGTGTTCTGTGTAGTTGCATATTTTACACAAATATACATACATATATATATACGTATATATATATTTATTTGGATGAAGACACGTATAAAACAGTTATTGATTGCTTCTTGTTGAGTATTTCATAGTTATTAGATGACAACGTCCAATTCTCTCCTTTTTCTTTTTTTCACCCTTCAGTCTACAATGTTCATTATAAAAAAGAAAGTGAATTGATGGTGACCCTCTTCACCATATCTCTGCAGGTAGTAGATTGAAGGCATGCGTTCATATGTTGAGCTTCTCTTTCGCTTCTTCTGTATTAAAACAAGCTTACACCCCAATAGTAAAACTACCGAGTCAGTACTAACAAGAGAAAGAATGGACCATGTACATATTACATCAATCAAAGTATGCATACAATAGTGATATATGTTATTCTTAGAGGAGTGTCGTCATAATTGGCTTAAAGCTAGATGACAGATCTTACGTAATCCACACTTTGTTATTTATTTATAGAATGTATTTTCCTTCATCCATACGTGATCGTTCTTTTTATGCCAAATTTTATAGTCGTCATCCATCAGAAATAGAAATAATCGATAAAATTTCATCATCATCCACTCCATCATCATCATCATCATCATCATCTTGTGTCTTAAGATTATTATCTGAAATTCCAACAACAATAACACCGTTATCTGATGTAACATCAAGTGCTACTTCAGGTTTTTTTTCATCATCTGAATGTTCATCATCTGAATCTACAAGTTCATATACGAAACGTCGACGTACGACAGCACCTATTATACAAGAACGTTTAAATACTTATGAATCAGCTTGTTCACGTCCAAGTTTACCTTTACCATCATCGATTTTGTCTAAACAAAAAACTGAATCTATTTCTACTGTATCCACTCTATCTCTAGTCAATCAAACTATTCCTCAACAAATACCGGCTGACCAAACAACCTCATTCTTAATGAATACATCAAATTTAATTGATAATGATAGGTCAAAATCAGTTATAATCATACCAACTAATTCATCATCATCATTATCATCAAACTCAAAAATACATGAAAAATCAATTACATTAGATTCATCTAAAAAATATTTATCAAAATCAACAAGTCAACTTTGTGATCAATCATTAACTAATGTCAAAGAAGAACAAGTACCTTCATCATCACGAAGTATTCTTGATGTTATACAAGAAGAATTAGTAAGAAATAGAAAGGAAAAACAAAGAAATCATTATTTTTATTTGATTATTTCTAGTCGGAAATTCGTCGAGCTGATCACGATTTAAAAAAAATGTTTCTTTCAATTTATAGTAAAATTCAAACAATTCAACAATTAAAATCAACACCAACAACAACAGTTCATCAACATAAAGGTCAACGAAATCATTATCATCATAATGAACGACCTTCACGTTTAATAACACATTGTTGTTATTCGAGTAATACTGATATTCGACGAATGAGTTGTACTCATCATCATAGTCGAAAATATGCTCTTCATACAGTTGTTGCATTACGTAATCGAATGAACAATTTACGAGCATCATCAACAGCTGATAATGACAGTTATGTTGATACAGATTCGTCGTCTTCCTCATCGGATAGTGGTGCATGTAGTTCACCAGTTGATAATGGACCTTGTGGTGATGACTAAGAAAAACGAAAAGATCGTACTTGTTCTTTATTGTTTTTCTTTAAATTATATTTAAAAAAAAAAGGAATCAGTAAATTAGTAAATATTAGTCTACTGATCTTCGTTCAAAACTCATACGCATGTGTACATCGCCATGGCTACCAAAACCGAGAAAACCAGGTAATTTAACCCAATCATCAAAATGTCCTATTTTAATAACATCATCAAGAGAAATTTTTGCTGAACCAATTAAATCTGGTTTCTTGCCTTGATTGTCATCATAGACATCTATATAAAGATATTCATTACTTGGCCATAAAACACTACATAGAAAAATAGAATTTTAATAAGAATGAAAAACAAATAAAAAGAAAAAGGTCATTAAATACAATTCAAATGTTTCATTCCATATAGGCCTTTCCACATCTCTAAGTACACAAGTTTTTTGTTTGTTTTTTTCATCAATATATACTTCGACATAAGGATCATTAAAGTCTCTTTTATCTTTGTCAGTAAGTTTTGCTGCTTCGACTATAGTTACACGAAGATATCCTTGAGCCATGAAAATTGTGCGACTATTTTCGTTCTGTATGTAGAGTGCAAATATTTAGTAAAAGTATATACCTTACCTTTTATATGTACAAGAGAGTTAGATTACTCAGGTGTAGCCAAATAGATGGCGATTACTTCTTGCGTCATTATAAGTAAGAAAAAAAATAGATGACGCAGCAGCTTCTAGAAATATTTTATATTGTTTATTGTTTCAATCAACTCATAGATAAATGTCAATAATTGCTAGATAAATAAAAACGTACTCTTTGACTATGACAAGAATAAATCTACTAAGAAAAAATTGAAAAAAAAAATGTTGATGATCAATTGTAGACTTTTATACTTGAAGTTTTCTAGTGTTGCTTTAATTCTATTTTTGTTTGAATTTTCTAATTTCGTCTTTCAATAAATCAATAATGAATTTTCAACTATGATTTTTGATAGAATAAGCGGACGGTTTTCTGGATGTATATTATCTAAAAACATCTTTTGAATCTCTGGTTTTTTACTTTCAAATTCAAATAAATTTTTTCCTATCATTTTGAAACTAAGGTCGAAGCATCATCTATATTGCTTCGCGATTCTTTCTATGTTGTGTGATTATTAGTTTGTCACAATCATGAACTTGATCAAACATCGGTTGCTTTTTCATAGGTTTACATTTTTGATGACACTAAGCAAAGATCTTCTTTGATTTACTTATGTTGATAGGTAAATAGGAAAAACCTATTTAATTATTTTGATATTCATCTTCAACAAATAAATAACTAGCAGAACCATATTGACAACGATTACTATCGTTATTGCGAATGACAATTGACGCCAATAGATCATTGATATCATATACTCATATCTTTTGATTGTTGATATGTAATTCGAAACTCGTTTATCTCTCGTACTCATTTCTGACAGTCGTGTTCTTGACGAATTTGAAATAAATCAACAACAATGGTTTTTTCTTTGGCGCTCTAATGTGTTAAATCGAAGAAAAATATGAGTATATACATCGTGAATATTTGTTAATTATAAAATTTTGATAACTTTTGTTTGCTATTATTTTACAGTATTTTATCTTGATTTTATCAAACAAAAAATGATGGATATGAGGTGACAAAATTATGAAGAATTATTTTTCTAGTTAAAATTATAACGACAAAGAACATGATTGAAAACATTTTAATGAAACAAAATTTTATAATATTCAAGTCTAGGACAGTCGAAGCAATGATTAGGAATCATCAATGTAAAGAGAAAGAAATCTAATTAGAATGAATCATCATTATGATTTGGTTAGAAACCTTGCCTGATGATTGGTGGAATCAATATCGATCTACTTCACTTTCACGTGAATGTATTCAAGAACTTAATATTGAAATTTTATTTCTTGTTCGAAGTCTTATTCTTGAAACACGTACTTATGCACGTGTTTGTAAACGTATTCGTCTTCTTGCTATTGATTTTCAAACTGCACTTGATGCCCGATATATTCATCGATATAGTAATCTTGTTAACCATATAAAACAATCGGAAGAAACCAATATTTCTGTTTTATCATTACTCAATCAAACAGATCAAATATCATCCAACATCGATACACTTCAACTTACAATTCATTGGCTTGCTATTGATGGAGAACAACCGATCATACCTGAAAATCCACTTCCAAATTTCATTGAAGAAAATTCATTTGAGAAAAAACAACAAAAAACTATGGATAGAAAGATAGTACCATCAGAACTTATTAATAAATCTTGTTTACTAAAAAAAGTTTTTGAAATGGCCAGTTCAACTAAAACAAAGTAAACCACTATTCATTTTAAAATATAATGTGCTCAACTATTTTTTGAGTAACATTTGATAGAAACATCACAAAGACCTGTGTTTGTAATCATTCAAGAAAGAAGATCCGTAATTATCGAAATATATCGCTTCTTTTGTTCGAGACTTATAAGACTTTTCTTGAAACCCCTGATTTAAGCCAATTGACTTCGAATCAATTGAAAAAGCAGCTGAGCAAGGATAATTTAACGTGCTGAGTTCAATTATGTAGTGAATAATTCGACATTTCGAAAGTATAAATGTTGAATAGTCGTTGTCTAGCTATTTTTCCTGATGATTACAAACGAATTAGCTGAAACAAAAGGTCGCTGAAAAAGTCTTATAACTCTCGAAAGAAACAAACTAGAAGTATTGGTCTTGCATCGACCGAAAGAAAAATAGTTTCAGAATTTTGTTTTCGAAAATCTTCAGGAAGAACTCACCTGATTAGTCAATTGCTGGTCAATTGAATTTCTATAGATCTCCATGGACAAGGATCTTCTCTCTTGATATGTTGAAAATCGCTGATTTCTATTATGTTCTCATGAAAATTTATTCAAAAAACAATGGAACATAGGTTATTTTGAAATAGATAATAATAATCATGTTGAATATCAGTTTGTCATACTAAATCTTTATGCAATAGGAATTATGAGCTTCAAGATCATGTTCATCCATTAACAAAGAATAATTTAACTATCAAACCAATTCACCCCCGACATGTACCCATACGTCGTTTTCATACAAATAATGACATAGTATCATCATTCCAACCATCTCAAACATGTCTTGCACATGAATTAAGCATAGAACAACAATTATATTTTAAATTATTAACTGAATCATGTTTTAATGGAACAGATAAACAATGTACAAATGCTTTTCATTGTTTTTCATCAGATGCTGCTTTACAACCTCTTTTACCTCGTCTTCTTCTATTTATTGCCAAAGGTATTCAAACAAATATTCATCTACATGATATAAATTTTATTATTCGATTTTTATCAATATTAAAAATGCTTACAATAAATAGATTTATTTCATTTGATAAATATCTTCATTCAATCATTCCAACATTATTATCTTGTCTTGTATGCATATTTGATATGCCAAAAACTGATAATATTTCATTGATGATAGATCAAAGTAGTTTGACGAGTTATTCAACAATATGGATTGTACGAGAACAAGCTAGTGATCTTATTTTATATTTTGAAAATAAATATTCTCATATTCCATATTTTACTGAACGAATTATTTCTATTATTAAATCAAATTTAATTATTAATAATACAACTAAAATATTATCTATTGTTTATGCATGTATACGAACATTACTTTCAATTAATATTCAAATTTATGGTTTATTTGCAATAGATATTTTACGAAATTATAAAAAAACAAAAATATTTGAAGCAGATTTTGATCTTGACCATAATGAACAACAGACAATATTTAATCAAAAGATTAATGAATTATTTAACAAATATAATTTAGTTTTAGAAGATACATAATTGATGACAGAGAAAAAAAACATAACTTTCATGATATTTTAAAAATGTCAAAACTTGCATGCTCTATGACAAGATCATATTATATTTAATTATTTATTATAGGAAAAAAACAGAAATATGAATATCTTGTAGAACTTACTTCTATTCATTTGATTCTTCTATTACTATCGATATCGAAAATATCAATGGTAATATATCAATATTGATACGTATTAATATCCGACGTTTATATTGTTACAGAATAAAAATAAAAAGATACCGGTGAGAAGAATGTAAAAATATAAGCAATAAGCACATGTATTTTTTTCTCAATAATATTATTTTATCGGAAGAAGAAAATATGAATAAAAAAAAAACGCAAAAGGGGGCAAAATAATATTTTTTACAACATTCGAATGATTGTCATATAGTTGAGTAGGTATTTACTTTGACAATAAAATAATGGAGGCGGGACTTCTTTTTGACGCATTTTGTTAACACCTACGTTACACACACGTACATAAATAGGAATTGTAACCTGTATAAATATATTAAAGGCGATGATCTTAAAAAAATAGATAACAACGATCAGTACAAGGTAATACAAACCTGTAATTTCAATATGACAAATCGTAATTATATCTACAAAATTGAGTCACAACTTGTGTATATGAATAAATCGGTTCATACAATCGTTGATCATTTAATAGCCGATAATAATAATCTAGCTAGATTAGAAATGAAATCTATCATGGCTCTTATAATTGAACTTAATGATACAATATCAAATTTAGAAAATATCGGTCGACAACCAGAAGAAAATCTGATCTTAGATAATACGCAAAACTATTTTGATCAGATTCTTGTGACACTACAATAATATTTTTGTATGAATTGCTCAATCATGATGGGATCACGTTTTTTCATTGTTTACTTTTTAATATCACAGCGAAATGAAACCGGATAAAAATGAAAATTGTTAAATTGATAAATTGAATAGTCTTATACAACTAGAATGTTTCATTAAACTTGAAGCTTTCTTTACAATTTTATAATCAAACTATAATTGTACAGAAAAAATATAAAAAAATGATTTTCAAAAAAGGAAAAGGCTTCGTAACGAAATTATTTTTGTTGTGTTGGAATCATGTTTTACTCAACATTTATTTCTTCACATAGTTAACTCTTTAATTCTTCTGAATAAACAAACTGTTAATATTATTTGTTCAAAACAATCATGACAAAAAAGAACTTTTCATTAGAGACTAATGGCTCAGGATGGTAAAATCGAAAACAAACAGTTCTAGTTTCGATTTCTAAGATGTTTTCTGGCAACTGGTGCTCTAATTATACTCTGCTAAGTAACTGACATAATTTTTTTTTCTGTAAATTTTCAAGTTATATATATTCTATTTTTCAACTTTATTAATGTTTATTGTATTTGGAAAAGCAATTTCATCGAAAAATAAAACAACGAATAGAAAGAATAAGAAACTCATGACTGTTAATCAACTGGACAATCTTTTCATTAATAAGAAATCATATCGAGCTGAAGCTTTATGCATATACTGAGGGGTGCCTAGTTACGCATGAAAAGAAATTTTAGGTTTATATCACGTTCTTAGTGGAAGCTAGGGCAATTCGAGTATATTTATAATACTCACGCTAAGTGTCTATTGCATCTTTAATGGCATTGAACCAACTCGACTGGAAAAGTTTAATTCTTTTTTCTTTATTTAACAGAAGACATTGCGGTCTAGTAGCTGTAAAAATTCATTTTTTGATTTTCTTTTCCTTCTACTCTTGAAACATACATTAAGTCAAAAACTCCTTACGAAAGCTAAGATTTTTTATGCAAAAAAAAGTTACATTCTTATACCATTTTATTGAAAGGAAAGCATTGTTCTTTATTGGTAAAGATTACTTTTTGGAAAAGATAAGTTTTCAAACAAAAAGAAAACTCTTTTAGTTCATCTCTTACTGTGATAAAATATTACTAGAGATGCGTCACCAAACAAATGCTGTACAAAAAATCACATTTTTCCTCTGACTTTAAATTATACAACACTTGAACAGTTCTCTTATGTCAGCAAAAAATTTTCAGTTCCGGTTCCGGCTTCGTACTCTTTTTTTTCACGGTTCCGTTTCCGGTACCATGCTCTTTTATTTCATAATTCCGGTTCTGTTCTCAGTTTCTTTTTTGTTGGAACCGCCAGGCTCCACTTTTCGTCATGCTTCTATTAATATCAAAAATTTTGTTATGAAAGTATGAAGTGCATATCAAATATTACTATCGAAGTTTTGTCTTTAATTATGATAATGAATCTAACTCTAAACTATCATTAAACATGCTTCAAAATTAGGCGCCGACGTTTTTAAATATTTTTGTCTATCTAAAAATATGACTAAAATTATCATGGACAAGAAAAACAAGATGTCTATTTTTTTTTGCACAGGGTAACTTGGTTGCTTGATGGTAATTCCGTTGTGCTCTTTCTAAAGAAAATGAAATTTTCTTAAAAAAGCCAATTTGTTTTTTTGATAGAGCATGGAAAAGTAACGTTAGAGCACTCATTCATAGAATCAGAAATATCTTGTTCTAGACTAAAAATGAACTACAAGTTATGTCACTCTTTCAAATGTAAATAATTTTCTTAAGAGTGATAAAACTTAGACCTCTTGTCATATTTTAAGAGTCTACTCCAAATAATTTCAGAATATGCAATTGTCTTTGATCAGAATCATATTTGTTTTTTTTTCATATAAGAAAAATCAGAAAATGAAAACATATGACGAATATTGGTTTCGATCGATTTTAAGTGCTATCTGTTTAATGACGTTCTTTCTCTATAATATATAAATCAACATAAATAAAAACTATACTTTTGTATACTATAGACATTGCCTTACAATATGGCCATATTCGTTTTGTTGAATTTTACAATTATATTTCCTCTAGATAAGTGAACCATTACGTGAACAGACCGTATATACAATACTGTTAGCCTATTATAAAGAGAGTGTCGATGAAAGCATCCTGCAAAAACGATCTTGAGCCAAATGTATTCTAGTCGATTGAACTTTTTAGAATATGTTCGAGCTGTGATGAAGAGACTATGCTGAAATTTTTAAGCTGTATAACATGATGTTCGAAGGATATATTCAATAGACAACGGTTAAAAATAACTCATTTGACAACCCAAAACTGACTCTGGTCTTTCATTCCATACGCTAAGTATTTCCTTTTTTTTTTGTTTGAAAGAATAAGTCAGACTGCAGTGCCTAACATATCTCTTTTTTTAAATTCTTATTTTTGATATGAAGGAAAAGGATAACAAATTCAATACTTTGAGATCATCTCAAAAACTGATCATCTAGTTATAGAAGTGGTTGTCTTATATAATAATAAAAAAGCTTACTTCAGAAAACTAGCTCTGTCAAAAACTGCAGCTCTACTTACACTTTCAAAAAAAAACGATCGGCTACAATAAAGTTTCTTGGAGAAACTTTGGATGTATGGTCGTCAGACAAACATAAACAAAGAAAACCGACAAAAAATGCATGTTTTTTTTCTGAAAACAGCATATTTTTCAAGTAAAATTTTCGAAAAAATCCAAATGCCAAATAAAAACTCAAGTCGTCAATGAGAAATCAGACTTCGAGCTATCTTCCAATACCTTTATCTCAATAAATCGATTTTTTTCTGAAGGGCACAGCATTATTATATTGTATTTCTACTTTTGTTTTTGTCGTTGATTTATCTCCCTTCGAATTTTGTAATGAAACGATGGAACATTGTCTTTCTGCAGTAATATGAAATTGTGAGACTATTTTGATTGCATAGATCTTACCCAGAATCTGATTAGATATTATTTGCATCTGAAAAACATATTTTTCACAAATAAATTCAATTGAAGATTTTGATTAGTCTCAGATCTGTATCGATCCTTTTAGAATTGTTCATGTGAGGATATGATGATTATGTTTAGTGGATAATTTTATTTGAAGATATTATTATTTTTTTCTTCTTCGTGTTAATTCAATTTTTATAAACAAAAAGAAGAAAATAAAAGAAAAAAATAATAATTAATAAGTACAAAGATATTTTGAACGAATATTTTATTTCATGTCTTTTTAAATAATTCTTCAATTTTATATTCGATGTGCAATGACAAAACCAAGTAAAGCAATAAAAAGTATAATAAATGCTGCAAAGAATAAATTAGGTCCATGATGAATATTCTGATGATAAATAAGCACTGATCGACGTCGTGCACCAATGGCTTTCAAATATGAAGGATCATCGGGTGATATTGTTGCAAAAATAATACGTTCTTGTTTAGTTTTTGATGTATTATTTGTTTCATCTTGTATGGGCGTCATAGCAATTACAATATTTTTTGATGAGTGTTCTGGGGGATGAAACCATTGAAGAAGTACAATCATAATTAAAATAATAGCTATTGATAATACAAGAATATTGACAAGTCGAGCAACAAGTTGATATTCTTTTTTAGCAATACCAGAATATCCAATACATACTTGACCAATAATTAGAATAATAAACATAATTAATGAAATAATTAAACAGAATATAATTCCTGTTGGAATTAATTTAAAAAGACATGAAAAACCTCGATCAGAATGAAATAATGAATGACATTCAAATGCATTTCCATAACGAATACACCAAGCTGAAAGTGAACCACCAACAATAATTAATGTTAGTGATATAGCAACAAGACCAGTTAAACATATTAAATGATAATGAGTTAGACATTCTCGTGGATGTAAACCCATGTTTTATGTATATATAATTTAATCTTACTTTTATACTAGTAATGATATGAGGATCGAATGGTATCAAAGATAAAACTGACCGACGTGAAGAAATGTTTACAAATATTTGTTTTTTCAAAAAGAAGAAAAAATACATACATTCGATAGTGTAGGAGTGAAAAGCTTGGAATTACATTATTTATATCTTTCAAATAGACGGCATTTGTATGATAACTATTTTTTGCCATTGTATATATGATAAATTATTTTATTAGCCGGTAAGAAACTATTTATTTAAAAAAAGAAAGAAAAAAAAAAGGACAAACTTGCTCGTGTTTACTATATACAAAGTTAGATTAAAGATTAAGTAATGTTTATTTTTCTCTTATTTTCATATCTTGTTTTCTAATATTAAATGTTTTTTTTTCTTTTGATTTAGCAAAAATTTTCTTTGTTAATAATTAATTCATTTTCATTGTTTTCTTCATTTAAATTAGTCGTCATTGATGAAAATAAAATTGATTGTAAAAATGACATATGATTTTGTAATTGTTGTGTACGAGTTTCATTTGTTTCATCATTATTTACATCATGACCATTTCGTAATATTCTTAAAATAGAAAGAAAAACAAAAAAAGAAATAAAGAAAATAAGATATTTGATTTTTAAAAAATTATTAAAAAGAAAGAAAAAACATGAAAAATACTTACTTGCCAAGTAATGACCGAGGATTATATTCTCGATTTAATTGTTGAGAACTTTTTGATAAAGAATTACTATTTCCTGTTGTTAAATCAGCTGGTACAGTTCCTGTTAAAAAACTAAGATTATTAATTGTTGGTTGTGCAGCTGAAAAATTTTGTTGCCATAATTGATAGTCATAACCTAATGGATAAGACAAGATCATCGATGGTGATGATGATGATTGTTGTTGTTGTTGCGTATGACTAGATCGTTTCTGTTTGCTATTTAATAAAGTTGATCTGAGAAAAAATTTTTGAAATTAATAATTAGTTCAATAGATAATACTTTAATGAATTGATTGATTCATTATTTTCAATTTGTTCTTGCAAACGTGAAAATTCACTTGTAGTAGTCATTGATGATGGAACATGAGTTGGCATTGATGGTGTAAAAAGAAATGGACTATTCGATGTATTGGTTGATGATGTTGCCGATGATTGTTGATTATTAACAAGTCGAGAGACGAATTCGAGCATTGGATCTTGAGCAAAGACAAATGCAGTATATGGATCAGTTGGAGGTGTATTTTGGGATGCATTTCCTGTTGATGTATCCGAAAAACCACGATTTGATGGACTAGACGTAAGTCCAGTTGTTGTTGTACGAGATGCAGCTCCATATGGAAAATTATTAAAATGACCTAAATATATGTTTAATTTTGTTGGTTTCTTTTTACTTGTCTTCTGTTTTTACCTCGTAAACCTCCTCTAATACCACGAATTGCTGTTTGTCTTATAAGAGGACGCCGTTGTGAAGTTGTATTTCCAGTTGAACCTGCAGCATATTCATTTCTAATGACTGCTGCTAATGATGATGCATGTGCAAGTCTTTGACGAGCAGCTTCTTGACGACGTTGTTCTTCTTCAATAAATGCTCGATGTTCAAGATCATTTAAAGAAGATTCTTCTTCTTCATCATCATCTTCATCAGAATCTTCCTTTTAAAGAATATAAAGAAAATTCATTTTTTTTTTTGTAAATAAAAACATAATTTATTTTCTAATTTCAATTACTTCCTCATTTTCATCACGTCGTGTTTTAGTAATAGATAATGAAATTGTTGAATCTTCATCATCACCACCTCCAGTTCCATCATCATGTACTGTTAACATATGATCAGTAAGTACGGTAAAACGAGATCGATTTCTATGCGATGGAGAAGTCACACAAATTGGACACATCTATGAATAAAATTCAACAAAAAGAAAAAATCAAAACGATTTTCTTTTCTCATCTCATCAACTAATTACAAAGAAAAACCCAAGCTATTTGTACAAGCCCTACAGTATTAAAATGTGAAACACGATGTAGCTGTTCCTGCTAACCGCAGAAAGACTGTTTTATTCTATCTATTTTGAGATATATTTCTTCACCATCCTCTTTTACTTAATTCTTCACAAATGTAATAAGGAAGTAGTTCATTTAATTTAATGAGACATTATTGATATATGATCTTTGATCGTGTATCAACAACATCTGTCATTAACATTTATCATGATTTTTGGTAAATAACAATGTCGACTCTATATGCTTCAACACTCCTTTTAGATCGTATTTCACAAAACAGTTTTTTTTTGTTTTTCAAATAAATTGATAATTAATCTATTTATATGAGAAATAATCAAGGTCTTACATACAACAGCCGGGGTATTTTTTGTTTGTGGTGATGTTGATGGATGTTTCTCCACACAATGCATAAGTAATGTTCGTGAAATAAAACCAGCTAAACCACAATGTGGACATGTTAATGAAACAACACTTCGACGAGGAATTGTTTCACCTGCATAGAATAATTCTAAAATAAAATTCATATGAACATATTCATATAAAAATAATTATGATTAATAATTAACCACAAGCTGTTTCAGTTAATATACATTGCATTGGATGATCATTTTTATGATTTTGACTTTCAGCTTCAAGATCATAACATGAACCACATAGATCATAATTATCACATAGTAAACATTTATAACGACGACCAGGAAAATTTGTTCTCATACATGCATCACATGAAACACCTAGATGAATAAGAAAAAAAAAATAAATATGAAAATTTCCTTGTTTGTTTGTTGATTCCAATTAATCATATGTTTTATTACCAGTATGTAAAGACATTCTTTTAAAATCTAGAAATACATTGAAGATTAATATTTAATAAAGAAATTAAAACCAACGAACAGAGACATTTATTACAGAGAAAAAAAATAGAATGATAAGTTATGTTAAATGGACTAGATTGATTTTCAAAAAGAAAAAGATATAATGAAAATACTGTTTTAAACATGTTCATAATCCTGATCATGTTTAGATGTTGTGGTTGTATTATCAGCAAGAAATGATTCAAGATCATCATCATCATTAGTATTTGCTATTGGTGATTCAGTAGTAGTAATCGAATTATTTGTTTTAGTTGATGAAGGTTTCTTTTTTTTCTTTGTTTTTGTTGATTCAGTCGTTGAAACATTTGTTTCCTTATAAATAAATGAAGTAGAAATTTCTTTTCGTTTTTTTTTCTTTTAGAAATTATTATAAATCTAACTTTTTTCGATTTTGTTGTTGGTTTCTTCTTTTTTGATTTTGTTGATGGTGAATCACTATGAGTACTTTGTGAATCTAGAAAATAATAAATTTTAATCAATTAGCTCTTTAAATACTAAAATCATACCAAGTATTTGTAATTCGTTGTTCGACTGTTGAGCTTTTGATGAAGATAGTTGATCAAGATAATCAAGATCAAATGATGATATTTGATGATATACAGGAGGTAGTATTGGTTGAGTAACCTATTAAACAGTATTATTAATGATTTATTTACAGGATAGTTCAACTGTCATTAGACAGTTTTTAATTGCAAATAGCTTCGGACAGAAACAAAAACCAGAGCTGTAGTTTTCACTAATGAAAAGAGGAGGCTTGAAAGCATCGAATCATATATTAAACATAATACTTAAAAAAACATTTTTAGGAGAGTATCGAAAAGCTCCAAATTTTTAGAAAACCGAGGATTTCGAAATCAATTTGTTTGATCTTGGCTTTCCACAAAAACTGTCTGGCGACTTTTGAACCACTCTGTATAATAAAAATCATATAATATATTTACAATTTCGACTGTTGTTGATGCTGGTTCATATTCAGTTGGTTCATTAGTACTGTAATGTTTAAATAAAATTATATTTATTTAGTTTTTTATTAAAAAAGCATACGTAATTGGTGGTTGATGTTGTTCATCATCGGAATCTAATTGTTCACGAAATCCTTTAACCATGGGATTTACTGTAAATTCATTTTCACTATTGAAAGAAAAATAAGATAAAAGAATATTTTTGAAAATAAATCAAATAAAAAATAACTAACTCATCTGTTGTTGAAAGTTTTGTTGTTGAAGATTTAGTTAATGTATCAATTGATAAATTTTGTTGTTGTTGAGATGTTGTATTATCATCGACAAGAAATGTTTCATAATCATTATCATCAGGTATAAAATCATCAACAGTTGATCTTACTAATGGATTTGCTGAATGTGTTTCTGTATAATCATCTGATAAACGATGTTTATCAACAATAATATCATTAACTTCATTATTAATAGTTGATTTTGGAACAACTAAAAAAATATATATATTTATATAGAATAAAAAATTTTCATATGATTTACCTTGTTGAACAATAGGTTGAACAGCAACAATAGGTGGTTTTTGTTTTGTTGTTGGTGTTGGTTTAATAGATGTTGGTGGAGTTTCAGTTGTTTTTTTAATAACTTGTACAATCGTATTTATTGGTGATGGTTTTGTTTGTTGTTGTTGTTGTTGTTGTTCAGCTAATGCTGCTGCTTCAAGTGCTTCATCATGAATACGTTTTGCTTCTTCTAATGGTTTTGCTTTAGCTACAATATCACCAGCAAGTGCTTCTTGTTTCGAACGACGTTTATTAGCAAGCATATCAATAAATAAATCATAATTATTATCTGTACTACGAGCGTATGTATCGATTTCTTCCAAGGAGGTATCCATATCACGTGCATTTATTTGTAATTGTTGAAGTAAACATTCACGTTGTAACTGTAAAAATGGAATATTTAAAAATTGATGTATATATTGTAAACCAAATCCATTACGCATTGAACTTTCACAATAACGAACAACTGAACCCATTGTACCTCTTTAAAGGAGAAAAATAAAATTTCGAACGTTTATTTTGAAAACAACAAACACTAGGCGACGGAACGTTTTCAATTTAGAGTAGATTTTACAAATTTTATAAGATCGCCACTAAGAAATTATGAATAGAGAGGACCGAGGAGAGATATATCATTCTATAGTATTTAGATGAAGTATATTTAGTGCTTTTTCCCAACGCAAATTTGTTCCCGTATAAAGTTAGTAAGATTCAGAAAAATATCGCATCTTGCATAAGGAAATGTATACTTGAAGAAGCACATCAACATCTGTTTTTAATTAATTTTAATTCCCGAAAAAAGAGTTTTTGATCTGCTTCATTGGGAAAAAAGTATAATAATGCTACAGCAACATATTTACAAAAAAAAACAAGAAATTTCCCAATGAATTTGCTCAGTATTTTGACAATGCTGTAGGCTTAGCAATTGAAAGCGAAGGCAAGTTTCGATAACTTATAGTTTATCGAACTCGGGTTTCTAATATAAGTTTTCTGTAGATCTACTGTATACATCTATCAACCTAATGGAATGAGCGATATATTTTTGAGTCTATGATACATAAATCTAAAGGCGACTTTAGTCTATGCAAACCCCATGGCTTCATCACCTATGAAACACACACTAACCTGTCAAAATTTTCAATAAAATTCAGACATTTATCCATTGATACTTTTCGATGATGACGCATATCTAATTGATTTCCAATAATTAATATTGGTATATGTGCTGGTACTTTAACAATTTCTCTTTCAATATAATCCCATGTCCATGGTTTTGTTATGTCATAAATAAATAAAACACCAGCTGTACTTTTGTAAACATCAAGAAATTCAGCATCAAGTGATACATCAGCAACAGGAACATTTATTGCATTTGATAATTTAAGTGATGGATTAATTGGACGTCGTTTTTTTCTTGATTTATCAACAACATCCCATACTTCAACTTTAATAATTGCATCTTCACATACACGTGATGACCAATTTATTGTTGCAACACGAATTTCATCTGATGGAATGTAATCTTCAATAAATTGACAACCTTGTAAACGAGACCATAAGACTGATTTGCCTGTATTACATTCACCTCGTATGACTAATTTCACTATTAAAAATTGAGAATATATTTTACAAACAAAAAAACCTGAATAGCCTGAAGTACAAGCATGTCTTACTGTTATACTGTACACCTCGGGCATATTTTTTTTGTAATCCTTGACTAAGTGGTTTGAAGTTTTCATTTGATTTTGATGTTGACACTGTTGAATTCGATCCATTAGAATTTGTTGATGTATGATTTATATTTGTGACATTATCTGGTATCGATTGATTAGCATCATTAATTGTTGTTACACTTGTTGATGATGAATCGTTTGTTGTAATCAAACGTTTTAATGCTTGTACAAATGACATCTATTATAGATATATATAGTTTGAAATAGATTTTGATAAGACTGTCTTTTTTTCTTTTTCTTTTATTTTTGTACTTTATTTAATGTTTTTTTATTCTCATCTCGTGTGAAATAGAAAAAGATCATCAATGGCTAATGGTGAATCATAGAAACGTAAGCAATGCTGTCAAATAGTGTTGAAGAAAATAGATGGAGATAGTTAGCAACAAAACAGTTTTGTTCGTAATAAAATACGCATTTTATTTTAAATTGTAAATTTGCACAAAAAAAAAATTTCACTTTTAGAAATATAATCTATGATAGAATTTTCGTCGTAATCGAAGATAATAAGGACGTGAATATACTGGTGATCTTCGTCGTACAGCGCGATAATAAGGATGTACATGAATATGTCGATTTCTTGGATTCATAGCATTTGCAAAAGCATTAACAATCGGAATTTGAGCGAATAATCGGTCAAATCCATTAGACATCATATTTAATATTTGTCCACCATATGACATAGAATTTTGAAGATATGTTAAAAACTGTGGCATATATTGTTGTTGATTTCGTTGATATGATTCATATAATTTTAGTTGTGACCAAAACCCAGCATTAGGTAAAGCTAAGTGTCGTTTGGATTTCACAATTGAATATGCTTTTTGTAATGGTAGACGATGATGTTTTATAAGGTAAGCTAACAGAAATGTTATTGAACGTGATCGTCCGTAATGACAATATAAAAGTGTACGCCGACGTGAAGCCACATTAGCAGCTATATGATCAGCAACAACATCAAAATACCGAGAAGCAGGAAATGTTGGATTATCTATTATAGGATATTTCAATGATTGAATACCACTGTGAGGTGGAAATATAATTTGTGGTAATTCTTGTGCTAAGTTAATTACACAAGTAATACCACGTGAAAATATATTTGTCAACTGTCGAGCTGTATTTTCAGCAGTAACAAAAACATAGGGAGTGATTTGTGAAATACTATAATCGGCAAATACTGGTATAAAATTTCCGTTGGTTAATGATGAGTTTACAAAGTTGTTCGTATTTATGATCATGTCGAAATTAAATAGTTACAAAAATGCTGGTAATAGAGTAGTAAATGCACATTATAAGAAAAAAAAGGAACAGTTTTGGTGATAATGTTTGCTTTGGTTGTTTTGATTTGAAGGACATCAATAAAAGAGAAGAGTAATTTTACAGGTAAACGTCTGTTCGTCTTTGATTTCTTGTTTTTTCAATCTTTTTTTTATTATTTATACTCCTATTTTCATTTTGTTTACTATTTATGTTACGTTATAATTTGAAATTATAGATAACCGTCATTCATACTCCGAATCAATTACTCTTTCATAATTATTACCATGAGCAATCACGCAAATATTCCTAGTATTTTATATCAAAACACAGTCAAACATACAGATCAGTAGGTGTACTGCTACTGTACTTGTGAAATGATATCAATAACTATTTGTCTATGTCTATTTATTATATATATATTTATATAATATTTTGTAGAATTTCTATAAAAAAATAGATCAAATTCATAGTATATATTCAATTCAAAGATGTATAAAAGGCTATTGGACTAAGACCTTCTGCTTTACGACCATAGTAATAAACATTTAATGAATCTTTAGCATAGCCATTGCCTAATGAAATAAATGTTGATGCCATTAAACCATGCATTTTGTCACCTTGATAATAAACATGAAATAAATCTTTTGCATAGCCATCATCAAGTACTTGAAATGAATCAGGATGTGCTCCATTAATAATATGACCAGCAAAACACACTTGAAAAGGATCACGACCATAACCAAAACCGAGGTCTACAAATGACATAGTTCTCATTGAATTAATTCGTTCTCCACGATAATAAACATGAATATCATCATTAACGTAACTAGATCCGGACATAGAATGGTAAAACATTGTTATATTATCACCACCTGTCGACTTAATGAGCTAATAAAATGTTAAAAGAAAACCGACAAAAAGTATTGATAAATCTTTTTTCTTCTTTTCTCTTGTTTTTTTTTGGTTATATTGAGAAAAAAGGAACATTTTAATGCAAGAACCGAAAAAAAAACAATATATTATAAGCCTATATATTTTAACAGTATGATGTTAAATGAAGACAAAATAAATGAAATCGAGCACAGAAAAATAGAATTGAGCAACAAGGACAGATGAAAAAAATATAAGAAACAGTCATATTCCCTTAGGTAAAATATATACTTCAATAATAACAACATCATTCCAAAAGTATTTTGATGCATCAAAAAATATCTTGATAAGTTATTTAAAGAAATGCAATTGCATCTTCTATCATTGCTTCAAAACGTTGAATAAAAAAAAAAGAATATACAAATACATAACTTTTTTATTTATTTACATTATTTATCTGTGTTTTTTTATTTATGTTTGTCCAAAATAGAGACGAAATGTAATGTTTTAAAACGCACCAGAGAGAAACAACGAAAAACAAACAGTAACGACATAAAAATAGGTTGTATAATAATGGATATAATATTTTTTTTATTCTCTCATTTGAAAATTTTCTACTTTTTTGTATCATTGTCGAACAATAAAACAAAAAAAAAACACTTTATAATAATATGATTGATAAGTACACACATATATATATAAATATAAATACAAATAAATAATACATAAGTCTTGTTTTTTTTTATTCGCGATCTATTAATCAATTAATTATGTCTGTACAATCACAACAGTTGATAGACAAAATGGGAAAAAAAAATACTGGCTAAAACTATCTGAATCAATTCTAACGATGAATTGAACATGTGACCGGATCTTTTGTTTTTTTTTTCATATTTACTTGTAAAGAAATCTTGACTAGTTATCTTGTTGTGATTGTATTTGTTTTTTTGGTGGTGTATGTAAAGATTTCCATTCGTCCCATTCATTATGATAAATAACATCAATTGTTATTGAATTTGGTACAGTTACTTCAGCTGTTGTTGTTTCTCCATTCAAACTGTATGTATTATATTCATCATATAAACGATAATAATAATCAGTTGCTAATTGTGTTATTAATGTTAATGTTAAATTACGTTCATGTGCCATTAAACACACTGTACTACGTTCAATAATTAAACGTAGTTGTAACAAATAACGATATTTAGCTGAATCATCATTAGAAAAATGTGATGATAAAAAAGTTAATAACTTATGTTCTTGTTCATTAATATCAGCATAATCAATAAAAAATCTTGAACACATTAATTTTTCAAGTTGCCATGATGCTATGCCATTATCATATGGACGATAACCACGTGTTAATAAAAGACAATACTTAAGTAAACCACCACCACGTATACGTTCAGGTGATGTTGTTGCAATAAGACGACGATTAAGATGTGTTAAAGCACTTTCAAAACTTCCATAAACACATTCAACTGATATTATTGGTAAATGATGTAATGAGGATAAATAACGATTATTTTTTGTTGAACGATATTCTAAATTAAAAGAACAATAGACATTTTAATGTTTAGGCTAAGGTTTTAAAAAAAAATAAAATGTTCTTTTCTTTCTTTATTCAATTAAACTAATGATTAACACTATTAGATAGTTTTTCTTTTTTTTTGTCTGTTGTCGTATTCAATACAACCTTTTAAGTGCTATTTACTTTGTAATTGATCTTATTTGTGTCCATACTTTTTGGCTTTTATATCTTTCCTGTGGGTTTTGATTAGTTGTGTTTTTTTTCCTTTATCATATGTGCTGTTATACTGATTGAGGTTCTTCCACCCACTCTATTTTGCGCACGCGATCGGAATACAAAAGAAAAAATAAGTCACTTCTATGCTTTGATTAATAAGTACAAAAAAAAAACGAAAAAAACAGAATCATAGAAGTAAACTACAGCTGCTATTTGTTACATTTTTTTTCTTATCACTTTCATATCTTTAATACCAGCTGATGCTTACCATGTTGTTGTTGTTTTGACTGATGATGATATTGATAATGCTGTATTTGTTTTTTATTCGTTTGTTGTTGATATTTAAATATTTGTTCATAGTGATCAAGTAATGGATCAAGTAAAATTTGAAATGAATCAACACTAAATTGAAATTGTCTTTTCATACGATCAACAAATTTTAATTCAATATTTTGTCCATTGACATTACATAGAGACATTAATGCCCATGAATCATTATTTGATGGATTAATAACACGTACTACTTTTTCTACATATGCTGCTTGAATAATAATAGGTGAAAATGATAATTGAGAAGAATTGGAAGAATTAGTTGATGATATATGTCGAAATAAACATTCACATACAATTGTTTTTATTTGTGTCCATATTGATTCAGATGATAAATCACAACGAAATATAAAATCAATATCCGAATATGAAAATGATTTATCATTTGTGAGAACATAGGAAGCGGCACCTAAGATAAAAAGAAAAAAAAAGCATAAATAAAATATTTATTATTTGATTGATTTTTGTTTTAATTTTATACCTCCGTTGAGACGCACATCTTTAATATCAATATGATTTAAATGAAAAGCTCGTCGTAATTCAATTAAAAAATCTTTTGATACTATATTTAATGTTGGAAAATTTCCTTGACCATGAATTTCAATTGGTTCTTCAAGTATTGAACATAATTTATTTACATGACGATTTTGTAATGTTGAATAACATGTACGTTTATTAATATTATTAGATCCGTTATTTATTTTATTATTCATATTATTTGACTCGGATGTTGATAATAATTTTGATTCAATAGTTGATGAATTTTTTTTTGGTTTTTTATTAAAATGTTGTTGTTGATGGTGATGATGATGATGTGCTTCATTATGAATCGAAATTGTTTCATCACAATTTACGAGTGATGCATAACTTGATGCTGCAGACAGTGATGATAATGGTGTTTGATCAAGTGATGATGGCAATGAAGAAGCCATTGAGTAAGTATCGTCCATAGAACTCATTCGTTTTATGCGAAA